TCGCTCATTTGTTTCTTTGCCATGGCTCCTCCACCCTTCATCCCTCCTTGGTCCTCCCTCCTCCCTTCTCGTCCCTCCCTCCTCGTTCCTCCCTCATCCTCCCTCCTCCCTCCCTCCTCGCTCCTCCCTCCTCCCTCTTCCCTCCTTCGCCCCCCTCCTACCTCCTTCGCCCCCCTCCTCGTCGTCCGAACCATGGATAATCTTCAATGCCAGACAACTCGATTGAAGGCCATTCCCAGTGCTCCCATAGCATTTTGGCCTCATGTTTGCCTCGCCTGCGCCTCGGCTGTCCCGCGGCTGTCCCGCGGCTGTCCCGCGGATGTCCCGCGGCTGTCCCGCGGCTGTCCCGCGGCTGTCCCGCGGCGGGCCGCGGCTTTACTGGCCCGGGCCGCAGCTTTATTGCCCGACGGCCCGCTTTGCTTCGGCTGTCCCGCGGCTGTCCCGCGGCTGTCCCGCGGCTGTCCCGCGGCTGTCCCGTGGCTGTCCCGCGGCTGTCCCGTGGCTGTCCCGCGGCTGTCCCGGCGCAGTCTGGCGCTGTCATATTACACTTGAACATGTGTTTTCGGTCGCCAATACCAGCGGCACGCGGCACTCCGTCCGGCCCCACACAGTCGGTATCATCATTATAGTTGCATTGCTGCCTGCGGACACTGCTCGGAACAACGAGAAGGCGACGCCAACTTGTTCATAGCATTGTCATTAAAGGAGTTGGGCTTCCCGGGGGCCTCCTGGGGGAGCGCCGTGGCCACTTGGAGCCGCCTTGGGGCGGCCGCGGGGCATCTCGGAGGCAAATTGGAAGGTATCTTGAACGACGTTGGGTGCTCATGAGTCATATTTGAGGTCATCATGGGCTTTCTGGGGCCGTCGCGGAGCCATTTTGGGCCATCTTAGGCGCTTTAGCCCATCGCGGGGGAAGAGCTTCAGACCCATGGTTTTAGGAGGAGGGCGACGCATGGGGGGGGCAAAGCGATTCCCTGAGTCCATTCACGCCGATCGCTTCCAGTGAAAGTTCATGTGCGCGCCATTGTATTTACGCACGCGTTCTCGTGTGTGCGTGTTCAGTTGCGCGCGTTTTCTCGCGCGCGCATGCGTTTCCACACTGCCCTCCAATTATTGGCCATGTGTCTCTCGCCGTTTCGACCTACCGACGCCTGTTCTTACTGATGTTTGTAAGAGATCACATGCCCCGCAAATTCCTACACCTGTTCAACAACCAGGGCATGCATTCAATTGCGCATGCACCTGCCGTTTCACACCGAGTTATATATGCCCGGACTTGCGTGTGCATATTGCCGTCTCGGCGCTCTCTTGTCGTTCGCTTTCCACGTTGCTTTCCTTTTCTGCGTCCGCCAGGTCCGTGACCGTGTCTGTTCCTGTCAAGGATGTAGTTCCTATGGATATCCCCTTCGTGGAAGATCGCCCCTGTGTCGCCGACATGCTACCCCGTCGCTGTGCTACAGCAGTGCTGCAGCTGCGCAGCCGTCCTCAGTCGTGCTGCTGCGGCTATGTCGCGGCGTCCCGCGGCGATGCCGCCCAAGAGCCCGCTTTGCTTCGGCTGCCCCGCGGCTGCCCCGCGGCTGTCCCGCGCGCCCTTTTCAGCGCAGGGCGGGGTCGCCTCGACGAACGCAAGCCGCGGCCTCCTCATACGCGGGCGCCCCTAGCTCATGGACGTCGTCACGGAAGACATGGATCGTTTCCCAGGAAGAAAAGTCACCAACCGCGCTGGATCTGCAGGTTGGGTAAAGACTACTGTTGACGAGAGGCTCAGCGCTACTAAATATAACTTGTCCAGCAGGGGCAAGGCTACCATCGGGAATATGGCATCCAGAAAGCCCGATGGGGTGGGCAACCCTGACAGAGATCCCATACGCTGTGAGCCATGGGCACATGCAAGGGCAACGCCAAAGGCACCTCACCTCCTCTTAGAGCAAAGACCAAGTCGAAGAAATATAACCCTATCATTGTGCCTGAATCTTCAAGCTCGTCGATCAACCCCAAGTCAATCGGTCCTGATCAGCTCAGGCAACCGCCCAAACAGAAGAAGAGGAAAAGCCCAGATGACCCCAATCCTGGCGATAGCAAGCAACAGCGGCCTGTGGGGCAACCTGCTGATCGACGTCGACCCAGAGGACCAGCAGTGGCCGCCGCAGCAGCTGCATTTCAGGGCGCCAGTGCACCTACCCCAAAGGGCCCCGTGCCACGTCGCGGCCCCGCACTTGTCCGGACACAGGACTGGCTGGACGCCGACGCCGGGGGGGTCATCGAGGGGCGTTTCTTCATCGAGGCGCGGCGCCGAGAAGAGATTGCTGGAAACAACATCAAAGGCATCAGGGGCAGCTCCCAAAGACAAGAAGTGCGAGTACTACATCGGTGAAAGGAAACGTCAGGACTTCCACATCAGTGCCCCTCGGAGCACCCCTCGGCCTCCAAGAGGATCCGCAGGCGCCTCGTCATCGGCAGGCGCCCGCGCACCTGCAACGTCGGCAGCAGCCGAATCTGCCTGACGGACTGATGAGCCAGATCAGAGTTCCGCGGGGCAACCTGCTCTTACTCTCGAAATGCTGGTTGAGTGCAGACAGCATTGGGAATGTCTACGCACCGCCAGGCGTATGAAGATCAACCCTGCGTATCGCCCCCATATCGATGACGGGTCTGATCGATGCATCGCGATGAAGTGCGACATCAAAGATACTGCCGTCATTTCCGATAATGACGCTCACACGCGCCAGGTTGCACAATCTCCTGCGTGGGCGCTCGGTTCTCACTTATCTGTCCGAGAAGAGCTACTTGACGGGGGTCCTCAAAGAAGATGGAGTTGTTGGACCAGATTTGGTCCATGAGGAGCAGCGCTGCTGCTCAGACTGGCTCACTACCGCTTCTCGCCACATGCCATTTCACAACCACAATCTCTCTGATAGGTTTCTGAGAGCAGCACCATCTTTTGACGAATTCGACGGATGGGTGGAGCTCTCGGCGCTGCCCGACAAGTGGCCACCTGAGAGATGTGATCATTCCCACTCCAGACACCTGGAGACTGCCCGGCGCTGTCTCAGCGACCGCCATTGGGCGTGTCAAGCTTTAGCTGTGCTGAACTTGTTCGGCATGGTTGACAACGCTGGCATGCAGAGAAACAGGCTCCATATCAAGAAGTGCAAGTTCACTGCCGAGATTCACGATACGTACTTCATGCGCCCAAGTAATAGACACAGCAGTCCCGGGATGAAGTGCCCTGAGTCATTGTATATGAGAATCACGAATTTGTCCATTCCAGGTACATCTTGTTATTTCATTCGTGGTACCCAAGTGGAGAATATCCCGAATATACTTCGCGCGGGTCTGTCATGCCGCACCGACGACACCATCGAGAGAAAAGGCAGACCGTTTGTTCATGCTTGTCCATATCTACCTGGTGACAACAGAGTCCAGTCCGGCCTGCGCGTCGACTCCGAAGTATGGATTATGGCTAGTTTGAAAAATTTGCTTCGTGATGGTATGGCCATCTGGCGTTAACCAAATGATATTATGTCGGCAGGGCGGAACGGCGTAATTCCTCTGACGCGCATCGTTCAGCTCATCGGTATTCTGCCGAACGATAAATGCCTGTCTGACCGCGCGGGACATGTCTGGATCAATCCCTTGTACCTGTGGGACAACGCGCAGAAGCATATGAACTGTGATCTTTCCTTCGACGAGTTGTGCGAATTTCGAAATGATGCATCATCGTTGAAAGATTGGTTTATCCCAAAGACCCCCTACACATCGAAGTGTCCCGAACCGACGCCCATCCAGCAGGTCGAGTTCTCTGCGGCATTCACGATGCAAGAAGGATGCCAAGCGGGGGCACTTGCAGGGGGGGCCGACCTATCATGGATTCAGGCCCAGAGTGCGGTCGTGATTGGCATGGCATCGAGTGGGGTTGCTCCCAACGACATGCTGTGCGCCAACGATCCGTGGCGTGCCCAGAAGGAGCAGCTGCCAGTGCCTGCAGGGCAACCTGCGTTGTTTGCACCTATGAGTAGGGCCACGACTTCCTTTGGGACTCCACAGAGTGTTGAGAGCACCAACAGCCTACAGGCGAGGCTCCAGAGCATTCGGATGGACCCACAGCCCTACCAGGCTTTGCAGGCGACATCGCTGTTCGCATCGCCGCGTCCACCTCCGGGGCAACCTGCTTTCCCTGACCACAACGCTGCGCAGAGGACCGAGAGTGTGGCTGGTCAGTAACAGTGGATGTACCGGCACATGCGCGAAGCCGCACAGAGTACGCATAGGGATGGCATCGACCTCCCTAGCGCTAGCTGTCCGCATGCGTCCTGACAACCAAATGTGGCATTTTCACCAACCCACCCAGCGCAGCGTCTCGAAGCCGCGTAGAGCTCCACCGAAACCCCCAGTGGGACCGCCCTCATGCGTCACACACAACCAATTTGGCATGTTCACCCACTCGGTGCAGCGTTTCGTGACCCCATAACGAGTTCCACCGAAGCCCCCAGTGGGACAGCCCGCATGCGTCCCACGCCTAATTCTGAATGTATCCACCCACGCAATACAACGCTTCGTGGCCCCACAGGGAGCTCCACCGAAGCCCCCAGTGGGACCGTCCGCATGGGTCCCGAAAGCGTAATCTGGCATTTGTTCTCCCACCCAGTACATTGCTTCGTGGCCCCAGAGGAAGCTCCACCGAAGCCCCCAGTGGAACCGTCCGCATGCGTCCTGAAAGCCGACTTTGGCATTTTCATCCACCCAGTACAGCGCTTCGTGGCCCCATAGTGAGCTCTGGCCCCATGGGGAGCTTCACCGAAGAAAACATTCACAACTGCGTTGCCCACAACTGCATATGGTTGGGTCTTTCGCCAGGATAATTTTGTTACTCGTCACTGCCTGAGCTGATTTCTGACCGCTTGATCGCACTAGATGTGCACACCCGCCCCCATGCCCCGCGCATCTCCGCGACGAGGGGCCATAAGCTGCTGGGCGCGGGAGGGCGCAGCGAAGGGGAGGGACGTGGACCCTGTGTCTCTACTCTCGGACCGCCTGCTGTTTGCCGCTTCTCGCAGTGCTTGCGTGCCTTCCGATCGTTGCTGGGCCAGTCGTGCACGTGTGCGAGCGCAGCCAGCCAGGCTCTTTTCCAGATCTCTCCCACGATCCAGTCTGCCCCATCCGGGCGTTTTGCTTTGATTTCGCCCCCCCGTGCCCCAAAGCCATCAAACATGGGCCCAGGTCGAACAAATGTCACTGGGCCGGGGGTCGGGACCGTTCCAGAATCGTTGCTGGCCGATGCATGTCGTCTTTTGGCACCCATTCATCCATGGCCAACAGCACGCTCCGACTTACGATGCCGCTGGCTTCCTCCCCCTTTTCTGCCGGCGTCATCTTTAGCACCCCCCCCTCCCCCTGCCCCCTTCCTCTTCCTTCCCCCATCACAACCTTCCCCTTAGCTTCTAGGTGATCTTGTGATCTCCATTTGGATCCAAGTGCAGGAAGAGCAGGAGAAGCAGGAGGAGCTGTCGTTCGATTGAAAGCAGTGTTGTTGACGATTCAATCCAACCCTCCTCCTCCTCCTCTTCCTCCTCCTCCTCCTCCTCCTCCTCCTCCTCCTCCACATCACATCGTTGGCCAGCTGAACAACCACATCTGTTTGGAGTGAGGAGCAGCACGAGGGGGGCTGGACTGGATTGCGCCAACGCCTGCCTGCAGCGTTGGCTCCCGGATCCTGGGACGGTCTGCGGGGCGGCGGCTCCTGTCGAGCCATGGCCGCACCGAGTTTGACCGCAGATGGTTGCAGCAATGTCGATGGTCCCGGACGCGCGAGTCAGATCATCGCGACCAGGTGCACAGCTGACGAGCACGCCTGTTTAGATCAGGACTACAACTGCAAGAGCACCTGCAGTGCTGCTCGTTCAGAGGAACACCAGGAGGACGAGGAGGAGGAAAGAGGAGGAGGAGCAGGGGTTCTTCCTAGATGTCCCATTGCTCGGCTCGGCCTCCGATCCACCACCAGCGAATCTATGATGCAGCCAGCTGCGGCGACGCTTCTCTGTTCGGCAATCAACTATCAGAGAGATACGAAGGATTGCAAAAAAACCCAGGATTGCAAAAAAACCTGAAGGATTGCAAAAAAAAACCCAGGATTGCAAAAAAAACCTGGGATTGCAAAAAAACCCTGGATTGCAAAAAGGATTGCAAAAAAACCTGTTTTTTTTTTTTCGAAGGATTGCAAAAAAAAACCCTGGTTTTTTTTTTGCAATCCTGGGTTTTTTTGCAATCCTGGGTTTTTTTGCAATCCCTCGACCTTCTCTATGGTCCCCATGCGTGGGCGCTGGAGCCGCGGGTCGCCACCGTGCGCCTCCAGCCCAAGCGGCGATGGGCACAGATCCGCGGTGCGCCTCAGGCAAGTAAGTACTTGCGCCTCTCCCAACCGATCTTCGTTCTCCTCCGCCTCCTCCTCCTCCTCCTCCTCCTTCTCCTCCTCCGCCTCCTCCGCCTCCTCCTCCTCCTCCTCCTCCTCCTCCTCCTCCTCCTCCCCCTCCTCCTCCTCCTCCTCCCCCTCCTCCCCCTCCTCCTCCGAGGAGCAGGAGCGGAGGGAGCGGGAGGAATCCCCCCCCCCGCCCCCAGGGTCCATGTCGTTCTGATCGATCCGATACGACGTCGATTCCAGCCGGCCCGGTCTGATCAGATCCCGATACGCCGACGATGCGGTGCGGCCCGATGCTTGCGTGGTGTTGTTGTGCATCCTGGCGCTGCCTGTCCGCTTCGACTTCGATGCCGTGCTGGTGCAGCCCAACTCGACGCACTGTTCGATTTCCGAGGCGGGAATTTATACATGACCACCGCCTGGAGGATCGATTTTCGGGGACCTCGGCAGGCGGTGGATCTGGACATTTTCGGGCCCCCGGGGGCCAACATATGTCCACATCCACCGCCCGCTGGGGCACCAGGGGCGTCGGCTCCCAGGCGGTGGCTCTTTGCATCGCTCGGACGTGTGCATTTTTCCTTCGGCGAGGACCATCGAGGAGCATCCTTGATCATTTGGCGAAAACACCACGCACGAAACCGGAAACAAGCACAGGGAATGGACGTCCGAGCGATGGCCAGGGCGACGGATTGAGTTCCGCCCCGCACGATCCGATGCGATCTCCCGCTCCGATGCCGCGTGCTGCCAGCCCGCGCCCAGGACGACGGCGCGGCGCGGGCGGAGGCAGCGCGCGCTCGGCTCGCCGCCGCTCGCGCGGCCGACGCGCAGCGCGGCCACGCGCGGGGGGCCCAGCGCGCGCGCGCGGCGGCGCCTCCAAGCCGCGGCTGCCCCGCGCCGCGGGTCGCCGCGGAGGTCCAGGCGCAGGCCTTCACCACCCACCAGACCACCCCAACCCAACCCGAAGGCCCAAATGTATCCTCGATTTCCAGTGGCGGGGGGGGGTCGGGGAACATTGAAAAAACACATGGAACCCGTCCCCCCCCCCCCCCAACCCGAAATTCGGGTCGAATTCGGGCCTTCAGGTTGGGTTGGGGTGGTCTGGTAGGTAGTCAGGCCTAGAGGTTGACACCAATACCAACATCGGCGGTGTGCCTCCACCGAGGGAAGAGGATCCCGAGCTCGAGGGAAGAGGATCCCGATCTCGGCGATGGTGGACATTGTCTGGCTTCCCACGGGACCAACATTTCACCGCCGACACCGATTCCTAGGACCATCTTCCCCCCTGTGGAGGCAGCCCCCTGCCTGGGTCTTGGTGCCCATTTCCAGGCCTCCGATCCAGGCCTCGCAAGTTGGGGTCGGTGGATCGCGCCGCACGGGGTCCGAGTGCGGCCAGGCCCGTGCGGTGTCGACGCGGCGGCCCGGCCGCGGGCGTGCCAGGTGGAACTCCGCCGATGGCCCAGCATCGGCCCGGTGTGCAGAGCGGCCTGGCGATCGGAAGCCGCCGCTCACCTCGGTATCGTTTAACCGATCCCCATCCCCATGCCCATCCCCTTCGAGACCCCCACCAAATTGACACCCCAGTCGGGAATGCACCCCTAGAAACCCGAAGACCACCTGGGGGGCAAATCGGCCAGTGGGGCCCAGGCCACGCCGCTGGGGATGGGGATCGGTGAAACGATGCTCACCATCGTCCAAGGTTGAACGATCCACGAGGTGTCGAAGGCCAATGCCGAAGCCGTCACGACGCGAGCCTGCTGTAGATGGGGTCGGCAGATGGGGTCCGGGCAGACGGGGTCCCAGAGATGGACCAACAAGGTATCTGTCGCAGTAGGGGGTCGAGCAGCGCGCGCCTTCCTCCGACAACCAGGTGTCCGGTCCTGCTGCGCGCGCGGGAGACGAGCCTCGAGCTTTCCCAGCGGCTGGCCAGGCCGCCTTGCGGCAGGTACTCGAGTAGTGGGGTCCCTCGTGGCTCGTTCCTGGGCGAGGCCCCTCTTCTGCCACTTGGATTTAGTCGGGCCAGTCCCTCTACAGGGGGAGCATTCAAACATCATCAACAAATAGTATGGGGACGATTACTTTTTAATATTTTTGCCCATTTGGGTGGTATTTTTCATATTTTAAATTGTTCACCCAACATCCCCCTTTAAGAGGACACTCCCGACTTAACACTTGGAGGATGCCTTGTCATGGGCATGCTCTGGCCTCCTTTCCGTCTCGAAGCTTTGCATCGTGTGTGTGTGTATGTGTGTGTGTGTGTCACACTAGACGAGCGCGTTCCACTACTCGCAAAGTAGCTACTCGCAAATGGCCTGGATCCCCCGCGGAGGATCTACGATCAATTACATCAAAGCGGACATGTGTTTTTCGGACGTTTGCGAGCAGACACTGTGCGAGTAGTGGAACGCGCTCGGTGTGCGTCGGATCTGCCAATCCCTCGGCAGGCCCAGGACGGGGTGAGCCCCGCCCTCGCAGGGCTCTGCAGCTCCCTGCGGGGCACTGGGGCTGCACCTCAGCGGTATTTTGGCCACCTCAGAACGAAAAACCACGATAACGAAACACACCGTTTGGGTTCAGCCCTCAGGGGCACCTGGCTCCTACGGAGCCTCGCGCTCTTCGAAGCCGAGTCTGGAGCCACCATGGCGTTTTTGACGAGTGCGGTTTCCCCGATCAAGCAGGCGTGACGCGGCCAGGCCGACGGGATTATTGCGCTCGTTTTTGGCTGGGTTTGGGAGCAGGATGGGGCGGCCCTGCTGCAGGAGTTGGGGAACATGTCGTTCACGCGTTCTTCTGGGGTGTGGGGCCAGGCGCGACATGCGGACAAGGTAAGCCCATCACCTACTTGGAGCTCGCCCGCTGCAAATCGTCTGGTTTTGAGTCGGCGTCGGAGCGCTGCAGTGCTGGCGCCACTATTTCCAATGCCATGCCACGACATGGTTTTCGGTCCTTCCAAATAGGCTTCAAAATCTAAAAATGGCCTCCCGAAGAAACCATCGGAAGTGATTCCACCCCGCTTAGCGGCGTCGCCACGGCATGCTATGCCATGCTACGCGTTAATCTTCAACAATTTGTTATGCCATGTAATGCTATGCCATGCTGCGACATATGACTGTGCGAACAGAGAGGAGATCTACGCCATGGTCAGGGACGGGAGGGAGGGGCAGGTCGTCAGGCATGACGCGAGCGCACCCAGCTTGGCCCCGCCCCTCCTCCCTCCTCCCCGCCCCTCCGCCCCTCCCCCTCCGCCTCCTCCCCTCCTCCCCCCCCCCTCCCCCTCCTCCCTCCCCCCGCCCCCCTCCCCCCCCCCCGCCCCCCCCCCCTCCTCCCCTCCGCCCCTCCGCCCTCCCCCCCTCCCCGCCCCCCTCCCCCCCCGCCCTCCGCCCCCCCTCCTCCCTCCGCCCCTCCGCCCCTCCCCGCCCCCCCCCCCCCCGCGCCGCCCGCGCGCCTGCCGCCGAGGTTCCGCACCGTGGGCGGCGCGAGCCCCGTGCCGCCGCTGACGGACCCGGGGGCGCCCGCGGGCGGGCGAGAGCCCGCGGCCACGCGCCGCCCCCCTCCCATCCGTGCTCGGCATCGCTCGGACGTGTGCATTGCTCCCTCGGCGAGGACCATCGAGGAGCATCCTTGATCATTTCGCGAAAAAGCCACGCGCGAAACCGAGAAAAAAAGAGAGAGAGAGAGAGAGAGAGAGAGAGAGGAAATGGACGTCCGAGCGATGGCCAGCGAGGGGGCAGCGCCAGGGGAGGGGGGGGTAAGGGTTGTATCGCCGTGTCCTCCCTCCGCGGGGGCAGCGCCAGGGGGGGTGGAAACGTACAGTTTACCAGTTTGGAACATATCCCTATCCCTATGTTTGCCATTACCTCACCTCGGTGCCGATCGTAAGGATTCCCTCAGTTTCTGAGGGCCTACCCCCAAGACTGTCCTCGCTTTTTGCTCGCCCATCTCAGGGATAGGGATGCGTTCGATGCTGGTTAACAGTGGAGGCCCGTGCCAGGAAGCGCCGGCTTGCCGCAGGCATCTCTTCGATCCGCTGCCCCCGCGGCCTTGCCGTGCTGCTTGTGGCCCTTCCCAAGAGTTCCCAGTGGCGCCGGCCAGGCCCGCCGGCCACCCAGAGGCACCCGTCGAGGCGCATACGGAGGAGGCCCATGCCAATCGGGTCGGGCGAAAGGGGGGGTTGTGGAAAGGGGGGGTTACGAAATCTGCTGCATGCAGCTGGTTTCGGCCCCGCCGCCAGGCCCATTCCTCGATACATGGGCGCCTCCCGGCGCCGGGAGGCGCGGGGAAAATCAGCTACGTGAGCTGATTCTCGAACCCCCCCTTTGATATCCCCCACTTTCGCCCGACCCGAGCCAAGAAACACCCTGCTTGCCTCCAGGGGGCCATGGGTTGCTTGGGTTTCGATGGTTTTGCGATGGAGAGCGTGACGCTCCCACCAAAAGTCAACGGGCGTCTCTTGGGGTCGCAGGGTTGGGCTTCTTGTGGAAGGCTTCTCCTGGAAGGGCCCCTACTGTAATTACCCAGCACTGTCGGAAGGCACCGGACGCTTTTCGGAAGTGCTCGGAGCCCCGAGTGGCTTCCGTCAGCTGCGCCTCGGCGAGGGCGAGCGGGGGATGTCAGGGGATGCCAGAACAACATGCAGCGGCATCAGCCTAAACTGGCGCCGCCCGTGGCGCGTACTGCGCGCCAGGGAGGGGTCCCAGGACCGGTCAAAGAAATTCTAGACGCTTCGCGTATCCCCACCAGCGAGCGACTCCCGACGAGCGAGACGAAAAGAGACACCGACGAGCGAGACGAAAAGAGACACCGATGGAGAGACTGAGCTCACTCCCCATACATCCAGCGTCTAGACAGCCCGAGCGATAATCTCACTATTCACTACGTGCAGCCTTCAGCTGCCTTACCTTCTCTCTCAACCGTGTGGCAGCCATGCTGCCCACCCTCCCTGGCCCGCACACTTCCTGCCTTTGGACCCAAGTGTGCCGACCAGCAATACCATCTGCCTCGCTGCGTAGAGGAGCGTAGCTTGCAGACCCTAGCTGGCCCCTGGCCCCGCTGTAGTGGTTCTCACCAGTGGCCCGAATGGTCCTGTGCTCGGCTAAGCTGCCTTGGGACCGACCTGGGCTCACTCCTGAAACGTGCCTGCACCCTGGGATTCTCTATCAGACAGCGGCCTTCAGCCGTGCTTTGGACTACAGACCCGCTTGCGGCACTCTGCCGCCCCTCCTGGTACGCGCACTTCTTGCCTTTGGACTCAAGTACGCGTGCCAGCAATACCGTCCACACTGCTATCTCGTGTTGCGTGTGGCCATAGTGGCCCCTGGCCCTACTGTAGCTGTTTTCACCCTGCCAGGCCAGCCTGGCGCGCAGCTCTGTGGCCGACGACATGGTGGTTTTCGCCCCGTACCCAGACCTGCGCTCACTCCCTGGGATCTCCAAGTTACGACGGCCTTCAGCCGTGCCTACCCCGTTCTCCTGGGAGCAACGCGAGACACGGATGGACGGGCGGTCCATCGCCGCGGGTCGTTACGCCAAGGGCGGAAGGCTCACCCGTTCCCGCCGCCCCTCCGACTGGGCCTACGACCTCACCCGATCTGTGCCGTCCACCGATGCCCCGCGTCACTGCCCTGGCTGCGGCACGGTTTCGGAGTTTGACGGTCTGGCCCTTCCTCGTTGCTCTCCCGCGCATGTACGTGTGCGGATCTCCGTGGGACTCTGTGACTGTGAGGGACTTGCTGTCTTGGGTGTACGACGGTCGTTGTCCTTCCGAGCGCCCCCACATGGTTGTGTTAGCCAGGGCGTTACGTCACATAGTTGTTCGGTGCACGTCCACTCTCGAGCGACCTCGCGTTCCCGCAGAGTGGCTACACTGGTACCGTGCTGCGTCCTGAGTTGACCGTTGGTCCTCTGAACGCAGGCGCATCGCTCAGCAACGGTCGGGTCTGGCTTTGGCTGCTCTGTCTTAGGCTTCCCCTTGCGAGGATGCGCCTTGTGATGCTGCGACGGTTCGCTGGCGCTGTCAGAATCCATTTCCTGCTAGACGACGTCACCAGTTTCTGTCGCACGGAGATCGTTCCCTACCACGCGGTTGTCTCGACACGATCGCGGCCTGGAACGATTGCGCGCCATTTTGGCTGCGCCTGGCTCGCCCTGGGGGCTGACCTCTCAGACTCCCTGGGTCGCAGCTTGCACGACCTCTCAGGCGGCTGACTTTTCAGACTCCCTGGGATTGCACGACCGCCTGGCCTCTCAGACGCCCTGGGTTGCCGCTGCTTGCCGCCTGATCCGCGGCCCCGCGCGCGCCCGGGAATTTAGTCGCGGCCGCAGCCCGACCGTGACTGCTCGCCGCCGGCGCTTCCGCCTGCGGCTGTAAAAAAAGAAGTATCCCCACCAGCCCGTCCAGAAACGACGCCCAGGCGAGTAGAGGGTCGTCCTGAGGGGTTTTTCGGCGTCTTGGGTGCCTCGGGGGGGCCTCTGTGGGCCGTTCGGGATCCTCTTTGGGGCCTCCTGGGGGCCTCTTGGGGCCTTTTGGGGCCATCTTGGGGCCTCTGGGAGCACCTTGGGTGCCTCTGGGGGGTCTCTTGGGGCCTCTTGGGGGTCTCTTGGGGTCCTCCTGGGGGCCTCTTGGGGGGCCTCTTGGGGTCATCGTGGGGCCATCCTGCGGCCTCTTGGGGCATCCTGGGGGCCTCTTGCGGCCATCGTGGAGGACATCGATCAAAAAAGAGGGGCTCCTTAATCAGAGTCCCCCCCAGGAGCCACGATCCTCGTGAGGGCGGTCGAATTTTAGCTTTCCCAGGGGTCGATTTTGGGCGCTCCAGCGCGCCGCGGAACCCCCTGTCCAGGTCAGTGGGGAGGGGGTAGGGGGAGGGGTAAACCCCTCCCCGACGGGGAAGAGGGAGGGGTGGAAGAGGAAACGCTCTAAACCACCGACGCCCAGAGGGCTGGTGGGTTTCGCGCGCACGGGGGATAATCTCATGGCTCGAGGTTTGATTTTTTCCGAGGTTTTCATTGGTCATTTACGATTCTCCAGCCTCGTTGTGCTCTCCAGCGATCGCGACTCGCCGAGGGCGTTTTGGGGGAAGTAGCTAGCGCGAAGCCTTTCGCGGTGATCTTGCGCACGACGCAAGAAGATCGTGGGGACGTCGACTGCCCACCTCGTCGATCCTGGCTTGGCTGATCCTGGGCCTGGGATCGGAGGCTACGTCTCCCTGGCCGAGCCAGGAGGAATACACCTGTCCTGGGCTTTTGATGCTCCAACCTACTTCAGTTTTGATTACCAGGAAGAATTTCGAGCGCCCGAAAAAAAATACTGAAACTCAAGGGTTTTCACGTGTCGGGCCCTGGGAGACACTCGCCCGACACTGTTTCGACACTGTTTCGGTACTCTCTTGATGCCTTCCCAGGTGCTCGAAAGTATTTCTGGGATGCGGTCCTCAAGTAGGATGGGAACAACATAACCCATGACAAGGCATCCTTCCTTTCCTCTTCCTCCTCCTCCTCCTCCTCCTCCTCCTCCTCCCCCTCCTCCTCCTCCTCCTCTCCCTCCTCCTCCAGGGGCGCGCGCGGAGCTGGTGGCCTCCCCCACCTCTGCACGTGAAAAAAACACCCATCCGATGGTGGGCCGAGGCACCCTCCGTCTCGCCCCCCCATCCCCCACGGAGGAAGCCCCTGTCTCGCTCCCCACCCACCCCTCCCCCGATCCCTGCACGTGACAGAGGCACCCATACGACGGTGGACCGAGGCGGGCTTCATCCGGTCTTATCTAGCTCAGTGGCTTCTGCATCGGGCTTAGTCCCCCCCACTCGGCAGGTGAGCCAGTAGCGCCAAGATCGACAGGTGCACCAGGAGCGCCAGCTTCTCTGGGTGCCCAAAGTGCGCCACGAGCTGTGCGTCACTGTTTGGGGCCCGAGGAAAGATGAAGACTGCAGTGATCGTATTGTGTGTGCGTGTGTGTGTGTGTGTTGTGTTTGTGTGTGTGCGTGTGCGTGCGTGTTTGTGTGTGTGTCGCCTTTCGCTGCCCCTCAGCGTGCCGCTGGCGTCGCTGCATGTGTCTCGCTGTCGCGCACCTTTCTGCACGTTCAACCCTTCTTCCGGCTGCATCGACGCACGTTCGGCGGTTGACAGTTTAGCGCAACCCGCTAACGCCCTCGCTGACTTAGGCCGTGGTGTTATTTGTTGTGTTGTGTTGTGTTGTGTTGTGTTGTGTTGTGTTGTGTTGTGTTGTGTTGTGCGTGTGTGTGTGTGTGTCAGTGTGTGTGTGTGTTGTGTTTTGTTATGTTGTGTTGTGTTGTGTTGTGTTGTGTTGTGTGTGTTGTGTTGTGTTGTGTTGTGTTGTGTTGTGTTGTGTTGTGTTGTGTTGTGTTGTGTTGTGTTGTGTTGTGTCGTGCGTGTGTGTGTGCGTGTGTGTGTATGTATGTGTGTGCGTGTGTGCGTGTGTGTGTGTGTTGTTTGTGTTTTTGTTTGTGTGCTGTGTGTGTGTTGTGTATGTTGTGTGTGCGCGTGTGTGTGTGTGTGTGCGCACCTACTTCGCGACCCGCCGCAGCCTGCTGCCATCTGCCCGCAAGACAGGACCTCCTCCTCCTCCTCCTCCTCCTCCTCCTCCTCCTCCTCCCCTCCTTCTCTTCCCCTCCTCCTCCTCCTCCTCCTCCTCCTCCTCCTCCTCCTGCTCCTCCTCCTCTCCTTCTCTTCCCCCCCTCCTCCTCCTCCTCCTCCTCGCCCCCTCCTTCTCTTCCCCTTTTCCTCCTCCTTCCGCTCCCTCCTTCTCTTCCCCTCCCCTCCCGCTACTCTTCCCGCCCCCACGTCTTGCGACGAGGGCGACGACGAGCGCGACGAGGCGGGCGGGCGGGGGGGCCCCACGAGGGGGCCCCAGGGGGTCGGGGGTCGGGAGGCTTCTTTCGGGCCGGACGAAAGGGGGGGTTTGGGAAAGGGGGGGGTACGAAATCTGCTGCATGCAGCTGGTTTCGGCCCCGCCGCCGGGCCCATTCCTCGATACATGGGCGCCTCCGGCGCCGGGAGGCGCCGGGAAAATCAGCTACGTGAGCTGATTCTCAAACACCCCCTGTGCTATCCCCTCCTTTCGCCCGACCCGATTCTTCGGCACGAGCGAGATGGGTACCCATCGGTCGTTGAAAGTAGGTATTCCTGGATTCCCAGATTCCAATCTATTTTCAGCGCCTTCCTACTTCAAGAGTCGAGTGGTTTTCCCTCTTCCTTCCTCTTCAGGAGGCGTGCGGAAACCCAATCTATTTCCAACGCCTTCCTACTTCATGTTTCTACCTACTTCTTCCGACCGATGGGTACGGAAAGAGCGGGTGCGAGGCCCAGCAGAAGTTCCTGGTCATTTAGAGCGGGACTCGCTGTTCGCGCCGCCGCGGACGCTGTTATTTGAAGACGCAAGGCCGCCTGCCCAGCAGCGGCCGCTGTCGGTTTGGGACAGCATGTGGTGTTGGGCATTGTACTCCAGACTTCGTGATAAAAGGGAGGGGGTCTGGACCCTCCAAGTCAAGCCATTTTAGACCCCCCCCGTGGGAGAACCCTCCAAAACATCGTCCCCAGACCCCCCCAGGCCCTCCAAGATAGCCTGGAAGAGACCCCCCTCCGAAATGAGACCCCCCTCTCTTTATTACGAAATCTGGAGTACCCATGTCTTCCGTACCCATTTCGGGCGTCCAAAGCTCGGCTCGGATCAAGCAGTGGCGAAGCGTCCTGGCGTGCCCATAGGCTTGCCAAATAATGTTCTAAGAACTTCTTTTGTGGTTTCCACGAGATGTTCGTAGGACAGTTCTGGCTGGGACTATCCTGTTTTAACGCATCGGGTTTATGTTCATCGGGTTTATGTTCTAAGAACATTGTTTTTGTTTTTCGAACACTTTTGGGTTCTGAGAAGATATCGTGGTAGGCCTATAGAAATGCCGGGACGGTCGGTCCCTGCTCAATCGGAGGTTGCCAGGAGGGTTTGTTGGACAAGGCTGGCTTCGCTAGACCTCAGAGGAGGAAAAGTTACCCATACCGCTACCCATCGCCCGTTTTCCATTTTTCCAGCCTCTTGGGAGGGCCTCTACGTCACCGTTGGATCGCCTCGCAATTCTGTTCAGAACGCACCCCGGGAGAGGTCTGGGGGGGGTCGGTATCGGTACTTTCGGTTTTCCCCAAGACCTCAGCCCACCCCAGCCCGACCTGAGGCCACCCAGCAGCCGTCGAGACTTCCGCACCACGGTTTTTCAGAGCCCTGGATCATGAGGGCTGGGGGTGCTCAGGGGCAGCTATTGGTTCGTGCATCGGTGTCCAAACTAGAGTTACCCCAGACGGGAGCCATATCCAGGATAATGCGGGCGGCGTCCGACCACTCCCGATTCGTCGGGGTTCGGGTTTGAGATGGCTAATCGGTTCGTGCGCCGCGAAGCCAAACAAGTGGAGTTACCCCAGACTGCAGTTATCCCCAAGTATTCGGGCGTCCAAGTTCTGTGTTCCCCCCAAGCCAACGTTCGGCATGCGGGCTCGCCTGTTGCAGGCTGGCCTTCTCGTCGCTCCGGGTCCGCTCGGAGGGTGCTGCATGTGCGCGTGTGTGTGGGGTCGACGGCGCTGCGCTGAGTGAGAAAAGAAAAACAGCAGGGCGCTCAACCGACTCCTCTCTCCCCAGCGCAGTACACGCAAACCGTTGCGGAAGATTGCCTCGGCGGCGAAGACCAGCCCTTCGGCGTGCGTGCTTCGGCCGAGATTCCCCCCCCTATCCTGCTGGCGTTGGAAGGGACGGCGGTCGGTAGCGGCCGCGGCTGGCGCAGGCAGATGTGGCCCTCCCTCCTCGTCCATGCTTGGGATCGACACGGCCGACATCTCGGCTTCGCGCACACGGGGGTGGCGCAAGGGGGTGGTCCTAGAAGGTAGGAGCCTTCTTGGAAGCGCCCAGAGGCCTACACGGTCGGCCCGAGTTGTAAGGTCGATGTCGGTTCGGGGAGGGTGCCCTGATGTTTTTCTCGTTTGTTGGGTTTTCTTATGCATCCTTCGGGGGCGGACAGAACCCCCAACAGTGACACGTCGATTAGTGAATTGTCCGTTTTCGGTTCTCGAGATGGCGCCGCGGCCATTATTTTCCAGGCTTGCGCCCGCCAGGTTTGGGCCTCAGGTCGTTTTCACTAAACCACGTTTTACTAAAGGGGGTTCTGTCCATCCCCGAATCCTGGGGAGGGTGCCCTCGAAAGTTCTTCAGTTTGGCTGGTGGAGGGTCTCACGTTCTTTGAGGATGGGCTTCTGTGCCAGGTCCGACCGTCACAAGCCGGGTCTCTCTCAGGAGACCCCCCCCTCTCGCGCCACCCCTGGGCGCACGCCGCAAAACATTGAGATTAGGGACGAAGATTGCTACGGTAGGTTTGCGTCGTGTCGACCAGCGGCGACCCCAGCGTGGGCGTTCAAGGTTGAACGCCGCTGGCGACCCAGAATCGATCGACGTTGAACGATCGGACGTTGCGGCAGCGGCCGATCGTTCAAGGTTGAACGATCCCTGCGGTGTCAAAAACCAACGCTGGAGTCGGCACGGCACGAACCTGCCGTAGCAGTGCCTGCTCATTTTGAGCAGGACTGGCTGCCGGTGTCGCCGCCGGCCCTGTCCGCTGGAGGCAGGCAGCCGCCCGCCCAACGGCGGCCGCTGCCGGTTTTGGTAACCTTCCGCTGCCGGGCATCATGCCAACTCTTCAGGAGGGAAAAAAAAAACACACACAGACACAATTCATCGTCGATGTCCCAGAAAATATGGGGAAATATGGGAAGTGGGGGGAAGACACAACCCCAGGAAATATGTGAACATATGGGGAATTCTTTCATTTGTGTGTATTTATTTGTGTGTCCCAGGGCCCCTTCAACTCTTTCCGTACGTATCGGGCAGGCACGGTGCAGGTGCCCGCCGATTTCCACCCGAAGACCCGGGCACCCCCGGAGCGCTCCCGGCGAGGCGCAGCTGGAGGAGGCACCTCTTCCAGAAGGCACCCCGCTGCAGGGAGTGCCGGCAGACGCCCGAAGAACTCGGACCCGCCGCCCGACCGACCCCCGCTCTGGAGGAGCCCGACGAGCTCACGCCGATCGTGCTGGAGGTGTCCGCCTTTCAGGAGATCCCCCTTGGGGTTTGGGGGAGGCAGGAGACACCATCAGGGGGTGGTGCACCGACCAGCAGGCGCCCACTGATCGCAGATGAGGGGCCTGGTAGCCCACCCCGCCCAGGAGCGTGCGTCGCTCTCGAGGGCCTACATCCGGTATCGGTCGGCGGTGTGTCGCCGGCTCCAGGGTGTTGATGTCCCCCCCCGCCCCCCCGAGCCGGTCCCCCCCATGACGTTGACCCTCGGGGGAGGCTGCCTGCCGGTACGCGCAGCGCCGGCCCGAGCTCAAGACGCGCTCAGACAGTCTAAGAGGTCTCAAGAAGCCGCCGAGAAGCCTCTGGAAGACCCCAGGGGGCTCCCAAGACGAACAGGGGGGGCCCCTAAGACACCTCTGAGGCACTCCCAAGACGAGCCCCAGCTGGACCCCACAGTGGCCTCTCGGTGACGCCTGGCAGGCCCACGAGACGGCACATGGGGCCCCAAGAGCAGAGGCTCCCCCCCAGAGGCCCGAGGCCTCTTCCCTCCTCGTGCGAGCGCTCGTCTTCTCGGGGGCAAGGCATCGCCCGGTCTCTTCGGGGGCGGCCTTGGTGATGGTGCTCCAGCGCGACGCTGGCCCGTAGTATTATGATGCTCTCCTGCCGCTGCGGAGGGCTGCGTCGTCGAGGGAGGTTACTACGTCCATTCGGCGGTGTCTTCGTGGTCATGCACTGGTCAATCTGCGCTTGAGGCAATTGGCATGGTTTTGCAGCTTCTCATCATGAGTTTGTGACGCCATGCAGAGGCGAGTCGGCTCAGTTGAGTAAGTGTTTCGCGCCGTGTTCTAGAAGCGTTGTTCAGCTTTGTCTCTTCATCAGTAGCGTTTCAGTGAAGTGATGCTCAGATTGCCTCTGGTTTGGTAGCAGATACATCATAAGAGGTGCCTGGTCCTTCTTGGCTGGAGGCCGATCGTCAACGTCTTGCTGCTACCTCCTGTTCTATATTCTGGCTCCTTCGTCCCTCGTCCTATAATTTTTGCTTCGTCCCCCCTGGTCCCTCTTACCCCCAGCAATCCTGCTTCCCTCTCATTTCCTGTCTTTTTCTCGTCGTGTGCTTTCGTGCCTCCCACATTCCTCATCACCTTCTTCTGTTCTGCATGTGTCCTCCTTCATCCTGACTTTTCGTCCCCAGTGAATTTCGTGTATAGTCGTTTGCTTCTTCCCCATCCCCATGGTTTCAGCACGAACGCTTCGCTTGAGGCTAGAACCTAAGCGCGCGACGCGCGCGTGATTCTAGTATGTATCGAAGGTTGGGAGGTTAGATCGAAGTGCAGCGGAGTTCCCCCACCAGGAAATCGGTTTTGGTTTCGTATTTGAGCCATGCGTGCGAGCGAGGCGAAGCTGCGTGCACGGCCGAGCAAGATATTCCTCCTCGTCCAAATGGCGGCAGGTGCCCCGCGGTGGTCTCGCGGTTGTCTCGAGGGTGTCCCGCGGTTGTCCCGTGGTTGTCCGAATGGTTGTCCCGATGGTTGTCCCATCTCAATGGTTGACCCGATGATTGTCCCGAACGTTGTTCCGATGATGCATTGATTGATTGATTGATTGATTGAACGCGAGATCGATGTGAATTGGACTCTCCAACTGGGAATTCGATTTTGGTTTCGTGTTCGTGCCGTAAGTGCGGGTGAGGCGAAGCTGAGTGCGCAGGCTAGGGGAATGATCCCGCCGTCGCTAGGGCGAAGGTCGAGCAAACGACTCCTCCCGTCTGGTTAGCGGCCGATGCCCCGCGGTGGTCCAGCGGTTGACCCATGATTGTTTCGTGGTTGTTCCGCTATTTGTCCCGACGGTTGTCCCGATGGTTGTTCCATGGTTGCACCGATGGTTGTTTTGTGGTTGTTCCGCGGTTGTCTCTTGGTTGTCCCGATGGGAGTCCCGACGGCTGTCCTGATGGTTGTCCTGATGGGTGTACCGATGGTTGTCCCGATGGGTGTCCCGCTGGCACGTTGACGGATTCATCGTGAGATCGATGTTTAAGCAGAGTGAGGCCGATATATGGGTAGTAATATCTACATAACGACTGATAGTGAGATGGATCAAGTAGTGGTTTTCGGCCAATCATGCAAACGTGCATGGGTTGAGGTTCTGAGATGCCTGTGAGGATCTCTTGGGAGGCCTCTCGCAAGCCTCTTGGGTTCGGTGTTCGGGTGTCTTGGGTCTTGGGGGCATCTCAGAGGTCTTTAGAGGGCCTCTTGGGGCCTGGTTTGGTTCTCTTGGGGGCCTCCTGGAGCTTGTGGGCGCCCCTTCGGGGCCTGCTTGCGGTCTCGGGGGCAGAGGACTCGAAATATCGGTTCGCGTTCGCCCTCTGAGGCCTCTGCTGGGTCTATGTTTGGCCGTCTTTGGGGGGCTCTTCGGCCGTCTTGTGTCGTTCTTGGGCCGTCTTGTGTCGTTCTTGGGGGCCTCTTGGGCTGACTTGTGGCGATCTGTGGGGCCTCTAGGGCCGTCTTGGAGCGTCGAAAGCAAGATAAGGAGAGAACCCTAGACTCTGGTAACAAAACCTCAGGCTAATCAATGATGTTGGCATCTTGGGGCCTTCGTGGGGGTCCTCTGGGAGCGCTATTGGGTCGTCTCGGGAGCCTCTATGGACGTCTTGGGGCCATCCTGGGCATCTTGGCGCAGCGCTCTTGGGCGGTCTTGTAGCTCTTGGGCCTTCTTTGGCGCTTCTTGGGGCCCTCAAGGCATGCCACGCAGGGATCTGGGGGAACGCGCAAGAATGCTTAGAAGAGTTTGCAATTTGGGCCCTCGGCCCCATGAGTAACACTTACATTACAGTGGTCAACACATAGAACACGGGTGGACCTGAGGGGCTTCCATGTCGTGGATCAGTGTTCTACTTATTATCATTGTTTTTTGTGTCTTCTTATGTTCCTTTTCTATTATTGCTGCTGCTGCGCCTGGTCGAGCAAGTCGGCCCTGTGCAGGGCTCTGACATGAACAGTACAAAACAACAAGATAATAATAATAATAATAATCTGTCAGAGCTGCACGTTGTCGTGCCAACGACGTCGCGGACGGCCTCTCGTTCGACGCGGCTGGCTTTTATTCAGCGCCGCGCACGCAACCGGCGACCATTCGTGCGCAGCGCGGCACGAGGTGTCGGGGACATGCGACGGATGAATTGCCTGATGGGCGAGGGGGGGAGGAGCGGCCGCAGAGGACACGGGGGAGGAGGAAGGCACTCACGGCTGAACGCGTTTCAGGATGGGCGCGCCAGAGCGGCCAGCCGGGGCTGCAGTGCCATGGCAGTGGACACGGGACGGCACCACGGCCACCAAGGGACCGAAGCCAGGGTTGCAGGCTCCGGAAGCGCGACGGGCAGGGCGAACCAGCACACCAGGAAGAAGGCCCACGAGGCTGCAAGAGCGGGAGTCTCCGCTTGTTCGCCACGTCGCCAGGAAACGCCAGGCGATGCTGCAGAGGGCTGGCGACAGCTGGATTCCATGCGGGACCAAGACGGCCCAGGTGTCAGCACGAAGCCCGCACGGAACTGCGCCGAAGCGCGTGGGCTGCAGCAAGATGTTGTCTCGATCTGGCCACCAGGATGCTGGCGACTGCCGAGGCTGGGAGCGCGCAGCGGAGGCGGCGGCCTGGGCGGCACCATGGCGGCGCGGGAGGGGGCGAGCAGGAAGGCGACGGAGGAGAGGGAAGGGACGGGAAGCGCCACGCCCAGCCGGCGCACGCATGACAGCCGGGGGGGGGGGGGCGGGCAACGGCCCGGCCACGGGGGCAGCAGGGCGGTGGCCGAGGCCCAGCTGCAGGAGCGGCAGGGCGGCGGTAGCCCAGAGGAGGCCAGGTGGGGACCCACCCAGCGCGCAGCCCCTGGGGGGAGGGGGGGGGGCGCGCTTTTTTGACGTGCGGACGCGAGCGCGCGCGCAGCCGCGGGCGCTCGACCCCACCCAAAGGCACAGTCAGGGACCTTTGGGAGCTGCGCAATGCGTTGCGCAGCAAAGCATGCAAACGCCTCCGCGCTGCCACCTGCGCAGGGCACTTCGCCAAGGAGCAGCGCCGCCTGGCACCGCGCCGGCAGACGCTCCCGCCAGCCTGGGCACGCGCTCCCCAGCAGGCCTGCTGCCGACGCCGCACTGCCGCCACAGCGGAGGCAGAAGACGTGGCCGGGCCCGCGCGCGAGGGTGTGGGGGCCACCAAGAGCGCCCGGCGAAGAACGCGGCCAGCATGTCCCCCCTGCTGACGGGCGCATCAGCGCCGCTCCGGCGCGGGGGGCCGCGCGCGCAGGGCAGGGCCGCCTGGGAGGGAGGGGGCGCTAGCCTGAAGACGGGCCTGTCCCTCTACAGGGGGAATATTCAAAATTAATCCAAAAATAGTCAGGAGGCGATTTTTTCATTTTGTTGGTATTGGGGGCTATTTTTTGAGTATTTTTTATTTTTCGCCCAAAATCCCCCTGTATGGGGGACGCGCCCGACTGAAGGCTAGCGCGGATGGCGCGCGCGCGCGGGGGGGGGAACAGGCCACCAGGGAGCGGCCCGCTGCCGGGAACACCTGATGGCGCAAGCGCATCGGAACCTGGGAGCGCCCACGTTGGAAGGCAGGCGCTCCTGCCAGGCGCAGGAACGCAATGGTGCACACACACACAGGTTGAGCGAGAGAGCGTCCACCTTGGAAGGCAGACGCTCCTGCCAGGAGGCGGGAAAGAGGGGGCCGCCCGGCTCTGGCACATGGCTGGGGCCGCCTCCAGCGCCGCGCGAGTTCAGGCGAGGCCGCGCACCTGTCTGGGGGCTGAGATGCCCACGCGCATGGGCCCTGAGCGCCCCGGGTCCTGCAGAGCGCGCTGGCGACGGGGGCCCCTCGCGCCAGCATCCTGCCCTGCCGTGAGTTATTTCCCTACGCAGGCGGGAGTGGCCCCCCGAGGGCCAGGAGGAGTCGCCAGTGCGTTTGCCACCTTTCAGGAGGGGAAAGAACACACAGACACAATTAATCGTCAACTCCCAGAAAATATGGGAAAATATGGGAAGTGGTGGGGAAGACAAAAACTTAGAAAATATACGAAAAAAAGTGGGATAATGTTATTTGTGTGTATTTATTTGTGTGTCCCAGGGCCCCTTCCACCTTTTCCCCCTCCCTCCGCCGCTGCGTGCCTGCCGCTCCTGCGGCAGGCGCCAGACCGCGCCCCCGTCGATGCAGATCCTGCGGTATAGCGGCAGAAGTCACCACCCACCAAACCACCCCAACCCAACCCGAAGGCCACGATTTGCCCTCCATTTCCAGTGGGGGGGGGGTCGGGGAACATAGAAAAAACACGCGGAACCCGTACCCCCCCCAACCCGAAATTCGGGTCAAATTCGGGTCTTCGGGTTGGGTTGGGGTGGTTTGGTAGGTAGTCAAGAAGGAGGACAGGATGCCGTGGTGACAGTCGGCCAGGTCCGACAGGAAGCGCGTGCAGGACTGCTCGCTGCCGTCCGCGCTTTTAGCGCAAATAATGGCCCCCGGCCTCGTCGTCCCGGCCCGGGGCGTCGCAGGCGCGGCTCCAGCCCCCCGCGGACATCGCACCACATGTGGCCCAGGGCCGGTCGATGACCGCGGGCCAGGTCTCGAAGCGGTCCCCCGTCGTCGCCTCCAGAGTTGCCCCCCTTCAGTACCCCGCCGGGGCTCTCGGTGGAGCCTGTCACGCGGATCCCGCCAGCCGCGCAGGCGAGGCGTCGACGCGTCCCCTCCGGGGGCGAGGCTGGGTGCAGCGGCTGCGCTGTTCCAGGCTGGCCCTGCGTTGGGTGCACGTGTTCAGTGGTGTCGGGGAAACGGAAGACTCGAGTAAGAGCCGGAGCTCGGGCTTGCCGAAGTTGTTTGACGAGCGCGCCCTGGAGTTTGACGGTCGGTGTTCGTGGGAGGTTCGCAGCGGGAGTTCGCGCCAAATTTCAGATTGGGTCTCGTCATTTTCATGATGGCCCCGTCAGGCCAACCCGAGTCCCCCGTAATTGCCCAAGTCTTACGTCTCCCCGATAGTGGTGTGCACGTACATCTCTGGGCGGGAGCGTAAGCGTAAAGAAGTATTGGGACGCGAGCGGGAGCGTAAGGAAGTACCAGGACAGCGGCGCCGCCAATCCATCGAGACCCAGGCCCTGGTGGGTGCCAGCTCGGGGTAGGCTGTGGCATGGGCAGCCTCCAGCCAGAGGGAGCAGGCGGCCCTGCGGGAGGCTGTCCAGGCAGCGCGCCCAGGGAGACGGCACGGTCTGCGGCAAGCCACCTGGCCCAGCAGCGCCCCTGCACCTGACGAGACCCCACGCGCTGGCAGCCAGGAAAGCGTGTGGGGCGCCCTGGTCGTCGTTTGACCCAGCATCGTGGTTCCATGCACGGACCACACGATCTGCCAAGTCGTGGAAGCCACCGCTGTGTCCGAGTACACGCGCCAGGTCCCCTGTCGCCAGGCTGGCAGTCCCGATGCAACCAACAAAACGAGACCAGGACGACTGGACGTCTGGCCCGCCCACGCTGCCGCGTGGCGTGACTGCCCAGCCGTTCTCCCAACGGAGCTGGGCGCCCACCGCCAGTAGGGCTTCCGTCGTCGCCTGGGAACGCGCTGGGTTGTACCCGTTGGACGACCCTCACCACCCACCAAACCACCCCAACCCAACCCGAAGGCTCAAATTTACCCTCGATTTCCAGTGGGGGGGGGGTCGGGAAACGTCGAAAAAACACATGTGGAACCCTTACCCCCCCCAACCCGAAATTCGGGTCTTCGGGTTGGGTTGGGGTGGTCTGGTAGGTAGTCGGACGACCCCGTGGGCCTCCAGGGAGTCGAGGCCGGGGATGGTGGTGGCGTGGGTCCAGGTGCCGGCCCCCGAGGTGGGCGCCCACCGAGGGGCCGGAGGGCAGTATCAGGGCCAGCTTTGCGTTGGTATCCGCTCAGAGCCCCGAATCATCAGGGGTAACTCGGGTCAGGGATAACTCGGGTTCGTTTCTTGGGAATCCAAACCCGAGTTACCCCGGACCCGAGTTATCCCGGATAACTCGGGCGTCCAGAGCCCCGAATCATCAGGGGTAACTCGGGTCAGGGCTAACTCGGGTTCCTTTCTCGGGAATCCAAACCCGAGTTACCCCGGACCCGAGTTACCCCGGATAACTCGGGCGCCCAATTTGCGTTGGTATCCGCGTGCCGCCTCCGTGCCGTCCTCAGGGCGTCTCTCGCATCGGGGGGGGGGCTGGCCGTGTCGAGGTCGGGGCCCCTGCCCAGGGAGCCGTGCCTGTGTGGCCTGCCCGTTTCCCCAGTGGGAGCCTTGCATGCGGCCGCACGGTCCCCGACAGCGTCCGTGTTTGCGTTGTCCCTGTCCAGCTGGTACCACGGCCCTCCCCGGAGGAGAGTCCCCAGGGGGACTGAAGGCGACGAGGCGCAGCCGTGAGCTTATCTTACAGACATACATACATGTATCCAGCTTCATCGCGCTCTCATCGGGGCTCCCTGTCCTCTCTCGCCCTCCCCTTCCCTTCCCTCTCTCTCCCTCCCATCCTTGGCTCGCTCGCTCTCTTTCCTCTCTCTCTATCTCTCTCTTTTTTTGTCTCTCTCTCTCTCTCTCTCTTTCCCCCCTTTCCTCCCTCTCTCCCTTCTGCCCCGCCCCTCCCTGGCAATATCTCCGCGCTCTCTCTCTCTCTCTCTCTATATGTTTCTCTCGTTGTTGTTTCTCTCTCGCTCTCTTTCTTTATCTTTCTTCATAAGATAATGTATGGTATCTCTCTCTCTCTCTATCTCTATGTATTGGTTTGCTATGGTTTTTGTTTGTTGTTTTTTCTCTCTCTCTCTCTCTCTCTCTCTTTATATATATATATATTCATACATATACATAATTAATGAATGTGCATATGCATCCCTGGCCGCAGGACGGCGAGCGCTGTGCGCTCACCCTCTTCCGCGCCCTGGCCAAGGCGAGCCACCCCGCGCGCGTGTCCTTCCACCTGCTGCAGGCGCCTGTGGGGGGCGGAGGGGGGGGGGACGGGGCCCAGCCCAGGCTCCGCGCTCCTCACCTCCTCCCAGGGCTCGCTTCGACTCAGGAGTAGGAGTAGGAGTAGGAGTAGGAGTATTGGAGGGGGAGGAGGAGGAGAGAGGAGGAGGAGGAGGAGGAGGAGGAGGGAGGAGGGAGGAGGAGGAGAGGAGGGAGGGGAGGAGGGAGGAGGAGGAGGAGGAGGAGGAGGAGGGAGGAGGAGAGGAGGAGGAGGAGGAGGAGGAGGAGGAGGAGGGAGGAGGAGGGGGGGGGAAGGGGGAGGAGGAGGTGGGAGGAGGAGGCGGAGGAGTAGGAGGAGGAGGAGGAGGAGGAGGCCCCGACTCGAGTCAATTCCATTCCGATATATGCCGATTCGGATTCGATTTGACTTCGGATTCCGCTTTGTATTCCGATTTCTCGATGAGGCCTTGCTACTCTGCCGATATCCGCCGATGCGATTCATTTCGATCGCCGGTTCGACTTAATCGATTCGATTCTGGGCTCTCCTGCCTCCTCCTGCCTCGGGCTTTTCTGTACTGTCAACCCGCATAGCAAGGATGAGCGATTTTGCAAGGCTGCCCTGGCATCCTCGCCACTTCGGCCCATCCCTGGCAACCTTCGCTGGCCGGGCCCCGCTCGCAAAGTGTCGACATGGCCTTCCAAGGCCCTTGCATCCTGATCGCGCGTCCTTACACGAAGCGCGTTGGCAGGCCTCGGGATGATTCCCGCCGGGTCACGGTGATGTCTCTCGTTCCAGAGCCCCTCCGACCATGGCAGCTTCGTACAGGCCAGCGTTGACAAGCCCACCTGCGCGAAGCAAGATCGCCTCGCCGAGATCTCGGCGAACTTGAGGGCTGTCGACGTGGTCGGCCTCGTCGGCACCTCGATCCGACGACAACGGGCTGGTCAGCATACAAAGTGTTTCACACGTCGTGACCAACGCCATCGAGTGGGGATGGGATACTTCACCATATACGAACAAGAGTTGTGGAGTGACGCTGCTGCCGAGATGATGGAGGCTCCGTGCATCACACGTCACACGCATTGAGCAACCACTTGCACACTTGCAGGACTTCCCAGGCGTGGAGGTTCACTGACATATCCCCGAGGCAAGATGCAGTGTCAGTTCATTTTGGCATTTTTCCCGACGATCCTGAAGACCCCAGGGGCCAAGCCTGCAGGGCAGATTACGTCAGAAAGGCTAGTCCAGTGGATAAGTATGAGCTGATGCACGCACCTGCCAAAGTCACACCCTACATGCTCGTGAACTTGAATGACGGCTTGTGGGACCCACACGGTCCAGATGATGCCACTGGCCCAGCGCATCTTGACCATGAGGGCCGAATCGGGGCATGCATGCACGAATTGGTGACGACGCACAACACATCGGTTTTCAACACCCACTTCTTTGGTGCAGGGCACACGCATCAGGGCCCATCAGGGCCCCCGAGGTTCAAAGACACGGATCGAGTTTTGTTACTTGCTTAGTGGTTTGTTGCTTGGAATAACAGCATGCAGTACATGGCGGCGCACAGCATTGAGGTTGCACGTGTCGGAAAAATTCCTTGGCCATGCGCACGCGGACATCATCCATTACGTCAGGGTCTCGACCGCCCAATTGCAGCGCGAACATACTAGATGGGATGTGGGCAGAGTGGCTTCGTTTCTTCTGCGTGGAGAGGATCGCGCCGAGTCTCTGACGGCACTTGGCCAGGAGTTGATAGCTCATGGGAACGACTTTACTTTGGCGGAGTCGGCGAGCACCCCTGACATGCACCACGCCCTGTTCCTCAAATGCGTCCGAGCCGCGGCCGTCCCTCTCTTCGCACGCCAGTGCACAACCACCACGGAGACCAAGGCCATGATCGCAGAGCGAGACCGTGTGTTGCGGGTCCAGTCCAAGCTATCACGTGAACACGCGCGCCGACTTGATAATTCCATTATTCCTTGGCCGCGCCGGCTCAGTGCCCAACTGGTGCTTATTCGGCGACGACGATTGGCACAGGCAGAGCAGCTTCGATCGGAGCATCTGCTGAAGGCGCTGCGCCGAGGGGATCACGCAGTAGCACATCGAATGGCACGAGCGTTGACATACGCGGAGGTGGGTGCAAAGAAGACAGTCTACAACACATTACTGTCACGATCTGCCTCGGCTGAGGAATGGCACGGAACTCCATCGAAAGACGGCCCAGACAAAGGATGCTTGGCGACGCGCACGGCACCGCCCAAGATCACGCGCCCTGATGACCTACACGACTCTCACCATCAAGATATGCCTTGGTCTTTGGACAGTCTCCAGGGGCGGCGGGCTGATCGTAATTAGGACCTTTCAGACGAAGCGCGTGAGCAGATGCAGCGATCAATCCACCTTCTGCACACAGCCAAGCACGCAGACATGCATCTGAACGGAGGACCCCCGCTGAGCGATTAATCGCGATTGCCGCCCCGAGCTATGTGCCCAGACCTGATCGGCCCAGCAGGGTTGTCGGAGATGCTCGCTCGCGCGAGGGCGCCCACTTCGAGGGCGGCCGGGGCCGCGAAGGAGATGCTGCCGATCTCCGAGCACGTGGATGACGCCCCTTTCCCTTAGATGGCATTGAGCGCGCAGGTGATGGAGCGAAACGGTTTAACACATCCACTTACATATATGCCGAGTGGGAGTTCCGCCCCAAGTGGCCAGCCCGAGCGAGGTCTGCATCTTGTCTAAGACGAAAAATCTTCCCGCTCCCAAATATCCACTTCCCCGAGTACTTCAAGATAGCGGGAGCAGGCTTCGCTGTGGCATGATGCAGGCTCATTCGCGCCATGCGCGGGCACTGCCGAGGCATGCTCAGGGCGCGCCGTCGCGCTTTCGATGGCGATCTTTGGCCCTGCATGGGCGGCGGCGGAACCGCGGGATGCAGCAGCGAGCCCGAGTTCTGTGCGAGAGGTTACCACGCGTGAATGGAACGCCGGGGGAGCTCGCGAGCAGCCGCGACCTCGGCGCCATGGCCGATTGCCGATTTTACCGAATTCGGCGACGTCGACCCCGGCCTCGCGGGTTTTATCGATGGCCAGTTTCGCGCGATGATGCTCTCGCTTGGCCCGCCGCCCGAGTGCATTGCCTACCTGAGTGCGGAGGGCGACGCTTTCGACACTTCGCTTCAGCGAGGAGGGCGCACGCAACACCGAGGGAAGGAAGAAAGCATCGTCTCTCTTGTCGCCCGCCAGCACGTGCGCGACCTGGCTAGACAAGAGGAGCTACCCCGAGTCCTTCTTCGTGCCTTCCAGTATCTAGGAGGTTGGACTACCCCTGCCTGCGCCGGCGCTATAGATGTGAAACAAAAAAAACGGCCTCAGAACACGCCCATCGATTGGTGCGCCTATTCGGGGGCCTGGCAGAACACCCAGACCCCCAGTGACTTGAATCGCCTACTCCTCATGGGAGCGGCGTGTAATGCAAGCCGGTTAGACGAAGCTGCCGCGCGCAGACGCAGTATGATATGCAAGGAGCTACCGAACCCCAGGTGCCCAGCAAACAGATAAGTAACGCTGACGTCATGAAGTGTTGGAACTTGGCCCTCGTGTCTCTGGCCTTCACGGTGCGCGGGATATCGCGGTGTAAGCGTGCTCTGCGATCTCCGCGACGATCGCGACCGTGGCGGGCTGCCCTACTGGGCAGATGTAGATTTGAGCGTGAGCGACATCGGGCTAATGAGCTAGGTGACCGAGGCTTATCAGTGGCCCAGCCCACGATCGTAGACGGCGCCAACCCTTTGGCGAGGGGGCGGGTGAGTTCGACGAGCTTTGGGCGGATCGTAAGGTCGCTGCGCTTTTTCGGGGCGGCGTCGCGTAGGCCTTGAGAAAACATCGACGCGCGCCGCCTAAGTTCTCGAGTGGCGCCGCGCCGCCATCTGCGACGCCGCCGCCGCCGCCGCCCCCCGATGCTCCGGCGGGGGGGCGAGGGCCCAAGGCGATTGCGCGCGCGGGTCGAGGGCGGGGGGGGGGGGGGGCACGAGCCAACGTCGAGCGAGGATACGACAAGGGTTGAAAGCAAACGCACTGCAGCCCTGGAAGGCGAGCACGGCCGACCAGACATTCTGCGCCAACGCGCGCTATCGAACAGTTGCTCGGAGTTCTCCACGATGTGCAGGAAGACGCATTTGACATATGCACATCAGGATCTGGTAACATTTTGAGATGTTCCGCGACGCGAGCGAGATTCCCGCGCGAGTTTATCGAGCCGCCCAATCGCATGCGCCCCGCGCGTTCCCGAGCCAGTGAATTTGAGACTTTAGAGGAATTGGAGCGACGCCTCCTCCCGTTCGCACCCTCGCTACCGGCGGGGGGGAGGCTGCGCGGCGGTTCGCGATGGCATTGCCCGCCCGGCTGCCCCAGCTGAAGAGCGATGGGGGCGCCCCAGGTGTCGGCGCGCCGCCCGAGGGGGGAGCTGACGGACGGAAGGGGCGAAGGCCCGCGCGACATGGGTCGCGGGGTCACCAGGCTTCAGCGGCGCCAGCGCAGGCGGAACGAGGAGCAGCCGAATGCCGTGAAGCTGGCCGACGCAGGGATGACAGCGATGCTAGTGACCACGTTGAATGAGTTGATCATCGACGCCATGCAGCTCCGCGAGATTCGGGGCCAGTTGTGCGACGCGCACCTCTTGGGCGCCAAGGCAAAAGCCGCGGCGGCCACGCTTGGCGCGGGGGCCGCTCGCGCAGCCGCAGTGGAGGAGAGGGCAAGGGCCACGGCCTCGGCCCGCCAGTGGAGGCCGTCTTCGCACACCTCGTGAAGTAGCTGTCGGAGGAGGAGGTCGGGGCCCAGAATCGGAGGGGATGGGAGCAGTTGGTGCTGCGCCTGATGGAGCTCGAGCCGTGGGACCTGGCGCAGATGTGCCGCGTCTGCCGTCTGGGGAAGTACCGCGACGACTGCCAGGCGAGGATCGCGCCGGCGACGCCGTCACCCGAGCTGCGCAAGCTGATGCGCCATTGCATGGAGCAGATCGGAGCGACGACGACGATGGGCCAGGCGCCAGCGGAGCACCTGGAGGAGGAGCTCGGGACGCACGTCGACATGCTCAGCTCCAACACGCAGGCGTGAGAGCTGTTCGACCGAGGCGTGCCGCCAGCGCCTCGTATGAGCAGGGTCGGGGAGGTCAGAGTTCCATGGAGAGGTTCGGTTTCCGGCGGCGCCCTGTCTGAGGGAGTGACCGCGGAAATCCCGTTTTCAGTTCGTCGGGGGGCGGGCGTTATTTCCCGTTTCAGGGGCCGCGCTCTGGGGCGTGACAGTGAAGCGATTGCGAGTAGTGCTGAGTGTCAAGATTCCTGTTCGCTGACAGGCAAGTTCAATCATCGCGACACGGCCCTCTATTATGCTTCCTAATTCTGCTTCAAGACAGAAAGAAACTTCTTATACGGGTTGGCTGTAGGACGAGGGCAAATCGTGCCGGAAAGGCTGCGGGCAGGCCGCGGCGCCCGATACATCTTCAGGAGCCAGATCCCGGAGATCCCCGATTTGTTCTTGGCCGATGTTGTCTCTGTCCTGGCTTCGTCTTGTTGTCAGGGCCAACCAGTGAGATCCTGGCGTGCCGATTGTGTCGAGCCAGGCGTTTCCGCTTTGTTTGGGGTCCCAGGGCCATCACAGATCGATCCGACTCGAAAATTGGCGCAGGAACGCGGTCGTGATTTGTGCCACGATGTTTCAACTTTTCGCAACTTTGGACCCGGGGACGCTAGGGGGAATGAGTTTTCGAGGTTCGGGGTTTGAGACTGGTTTCGTCGGTGCTCGGCGGTTTTCCAGTCTCGGGATGCCTTCCAGCGGCTGCGTTTCGCCGGCAGCATTCCAGGGGTCCCCAGATCGGCGCGGAAGGCCGCCGAATCCCGAGTTATGACCCGGATAGGCCCATGGGGTGATGCATCGACCCCCATTTGTCTATTCATCGTTGGTCGGAGCTCGGTTGTCCTCCCCGCCCAGGAGCGCGCGGATTCGCCATCGGGGGCGATCGCCGATTTTTCAGCGATGTATCGCCGACTCCAGCTCCAAGTTCCCCCCAAGCCAGTCACGTTGTCCCTCGCATCTGTTTTTTAAGGCCCACGAGGTGTTGGCGGAGGGTGATGATGATCGAAGAAGATAAAGCGGCACGAGCATAGACCAAGGAAACACAGACATGGATCAGGGCGCGTGGATCAGCAACGGGCACCAGTTTCGGCGGCACAGGGTCATTCATTTGGGAGGTTTTTTCCCCGATCCGTGGGCCCGCTGTCTTCGCATCCGTTCCACCCACCCCACACACGCGATGCCTTGTTTGTTCGATACGTGGAGAAGTTCAGACCCCTTCCCCGGCACCAGCTGTTCATCCTGAGTTGTTGTTTGACATTCCCATGGCCCACCAGAGGCCGAAGACGGTCAAAAACCTCCCGTCGTGTTGTTCGGCGACGTGAGCATGTGTGGGATGGATCCTTAATCTATGTCAGCGTGTGCCCGAATAACGTTCAGGGTCCGCGCGGATTTCTCGGATCGGCGTTAGGCTCCCCTGGCTGCGTCTCTGGTTCAGCGCCGCCATTGGCGCGCTCCGCGCGCCAGGGAGGGGCGTTCAGCGCAAATCCAAAAATATCCGCGCGGACCTCCCAATGTATTTGTTCCGTGAAAAGGAAAAGGAGGGGGAGGAGGAGGAGGAAGAGGAGGACGAGGAGGACGAAGGGGAGGAGGAGAAGGAGAAGGAGGAGGAGGAGGAGGAGGACGACGAGGACGAGGAGGGGGAGGAGGAGGAGGGCAAAAGGAAATGGAGGGGTAGGAGGAGGAGGAGGAGGAGGAGGGGGAGCCCGATGGGGGAGGCCCAGGGGGGCCAGCGGGAGGATGAGAATGAGAGAGGGAGGATGGGCGCGAGGAGGAGGAAGACGAGGAGGAGGAGGAAGCGGAGGCAGGAGGAAGGGATGAGGATGGGGAGTAATGGGGATGAGGAGGGTGGTGATGATGGTGGTGGTGGTGCTGGTGGTGGTTGTGATCATGATGACGACGATGACGATGACGATGACGATACCGATGACGACGACGACGACGATGACGATGACGATGATGGTGATGATGACGATGATGCTGCTGATGAGGAGGAGGATGATCATGAGCATGAGGATGAGGATGATGATGAGGATGATGATGATGATGATGATGATGATGATGCTGATGCTGATGCTGATGCTGATGTTGATGATGGTGGTGATGATGGTGGTGATGGTGATGCTGATGATGGTGATGATTGTGGTTGATGGTGGTGATAATGAGGATGATGACGAGGAGGTGGAGCAGGAGGATGAGGAGGAGGAAGATAGAAGGAAGTGGAGGAGCAGAAGGATGATGAGTGTTGTTTTCCGATTCGTCGTTGGTCCCCACCTCCTTTCCATGTTACGCGCTGCGCCATACCGAGTGGGTGTGGAGAATGGCCGTGGCGAGCCTCGGTTTTGGCTTGCCGTGCCCGCCCTGCCAAATGCCTCCTTCCTCTCCTCCTCGCTTGTCCCTTCTTCACGTATGCAGCACGCTCGTTCCTCTGTCAGGCCACTGTTCATTGCATGAGTTTGCCTATCGCAGGTCGGCTCTTGTGGTGTGCTCGGTTTGCTTGGCAACCCTTTGATTCGCACAGCGTCCGAGGCCGAGTCAGGTGAAGTTCTGTGGTCGCGCTGCTTCCTCCTCTTCCTTTCAAAAAGAAAAGTGGGAGCGGTAGGATGTGTTTGGCCGGAAGGCGTCATGAGGGAGGAGGTGGAGGTGGAGGAAGATGAATTGTAGTGGGTGGTGGAGGGGATTTGTACTTCATCATGGGGCTGCTTGGGAATGCTGGTCATACCTGCAGGAACTCAGATCTGCACGCCCTACGAGTAGTAACCATTACTTTCAGAGGTCCGCACGGGTTTCTTGGATCGCCTCTAGCGCCGCCCCTGGCGCGCTTCGCTCCCCGAGGAGGGCGGGGGGTGAGCGAGTGCCGACACAAGAAAGCTCATGCGTCGTATTTGTTCTGTTTTGCAATGTGGCTGCATTTCGGTTACCCGGCCATGACCAGCACTGACCGGTGCAGAGCTTTGGAATAGCCTTGTGCCCCCCGCCCGTGTTCTGTCGGGGTCTTTGGCATTCTGCTCTGTTCAGGGGCGCGACGACCGCTGTCAACGGCTGACTTGCCCCATCCTGTTGTGCAGGGGGAGGAGGAGGAGGAGGAGGAGGAGGCGGAGGAGGTTGGAGGCGGAGCAGGACGATGTGGATAGATATCAGGAGAACATGGATGCGGAGGAAGCGGGTCATATGGAGGCGAGGGATGACAAGCGGCGGCGGCGGCGGCGAACATCTGCAGGTACACGAGTCTGAACGCTGGCATTCAAAGAATTGGCCTGACAGCTCAAGTGCCTAGAGTGCGCTATATTTAGCGGTGCTTCGCACGTGGGAAGGAAGAGGAGGAGGAGGAGGAGGAGGAGGAGGAGGAGGAATTCAAGCAGGAAGTAGTAGGGAGTAGGAGTAGGAGGAGGAGGCGGAGGAGGAGGAGGTGGAGGACAAGCGTGCAGAGGCGAAGCGGTGAGGGAGCGGAGGAGGAGCGCCCGGCAGCAGCGACCAGGAGAGGGCGCCCCGGCCCGACCCGTGGCGGACCCCTCGGAACGGCCCCGTGCGTTGTCCGCGGCCCCTTCGGGCAGAGAGTATGAGGAGGAGGAGGAGGAGGAGGAGGAGGAGGAGGAGGAGGAGGAGGAGGAGGAGGAGGAGGAGGAGGAGGAGGAGGAGGAGGAGGAGGAGGAGGAGGAGGAGGAGGAGGAGGAGGAGGAGGAGGAGGAGGAGGAGGAGGAGGAGGAGGAGGAGGAGGAGGAGGAGGAGGAGGAGGAGGAGGAGGAGGGAGGAGGAGGAGGAGGAGGAGGAGGAGGAGGAGGAGGAGGAGGAGGAGGAGGAGGAGAGGAGGAGGAGGAGGAGGAGGAGGAGGAGGAGGAGGAGGAGGAGGAGGAGGAGGAGGAGGAGGAGGAGGAGGAGGAGTGGAGGAGGAGGAGGAGGAGGAGGAGGAGGAGGAGGAGGAGGCGGGGGCGGCGAGAGCGCGAGGCACGCCAGAAGCAGACCACCGACTGCCTCGCGGAGTTCGAGGAGCGTGGGGGGGGGGCGGGCGCGTCGACGCACAGCAGGGGGGGCGTCGATCACGCGGGCATTCCCGCGTCCACTGTCGGCTGCAGGTCGCGCGCAGGCGCCTGCGCAGAGATGGCGCTTACGCGCGACCTGACGCGCTCACGCGGCACACTGTCAGGGAACGAAGGCGCCGGTCCCACGCGATGTGCAGCGTGAAGCAGCGGTTTGCACAAGCCTCCGCGAGAGTGAGGTCGCCGTGCCGTCGTGCGTCAGAATCCCTTGCTCGTCGTCGCTCAGGTTGGGCGGGCCCAGTGGCTGGTTGGGCGGTGGGCAGCATGTGGTCGCTTCCTTCTTGATGTCTGCAGCTCGTTTCAGTTTCGATTCTTGTCGAGCGCCCAGGCCGCGCAAAATCCTGCTAGAATGCTGAGAAAGATGCGTCGTCGCACCTCCAGTTTGAGCCGGCGACTCCGCCCCACGGGCGACGTGAGCATCATTTGTCCGAAGTCCGCGCGGATTGCCTGGATCGGCGCCGGACCCACTTGCGGCGCCTCTGGCACCGCCCTTGGCGCGCTGGGTCCAGCGCCGATCCAAGAAGTCCGCGAGGACATTCGAAAGTTTACCTCGATGCCGCTGCTTGTTCCTCTGCTGGTGGGGGGACGCAGAGGACAGAGGGGTCCGTCGCCGATCCGAGAAGGCCGCGTTACTCGAGGAAGCGCAAACATGGATCACGGCGCGTGGATTGGCGACTGGCCCCGTCTGCGTGCGACATCGGCCCGCTCCATCGCTAGAGTTGGCGGCACTGGCCTCATGTTTGTGGGGTGGACCTTTCCCGCTCAGTGAATCGTGCGCCCACGCGCCAGATCCACCAATCCGTAATCCATGCCAAGGTGTGCACGATCTTCGCTTGCCCCGGCTTGGGGCGGGCACCTCCCCCGATCCATGGATTTGGCGACCGCGCGCAAAATCCATGGCCCGCGCCCCCGAAAAGTTAGAGTGACGGGGGGGGGGGGAAGGCGGGAAGGGGGTGCGGCGGGGCCTGTCACGGGCGTTATCACGAATAACAGAACAGTGCCAGGAGGGAAAAACACACATAGACACAATATGAATCGTCGACTCCCAGGATAACATGGAAAAATATGGGAATCGGGCGGGAAGACAGAAACCCAGAAGATATCAAGAAATATGGGGGATGCTTTTATTTGTGTGCATTTGTGTGTGTGTGTGTGTGTGTGTGTGTCCTGGGGCCCCTTGACAGTGGGCAGCCGGGGTGGCGCTCATGGCTGGCCCCCGCACCCCATGGTGCTCAGGGGCCACCGCGATGGTCTAGGCCTCCTAGATGGGGTCGGAGCAGATGGTGTCGGAGGATCGCGCCGCATCGTCGATGCATCGCCGATGCGGCTCGATGTGCAGCCCGATTTGCTCCACGTCGACGTCGCCGATGCCTCGCCCACGTCGACGATGCATCGCCAGTGCATCGCCGATGCATCGGCGATGCATCGGCGATGCGGGGCGATCCTCCGACCCCATCTACTCCGACCCCATCTAGGAGGCCTCTAGATGGGGGGACTAGGCCCCGGGAGGACGCCTCGCGCATCGGCCCCCAGGCGCCCATCCAGCGCCGAGGGGGCCCCGGCGGCCCCCTCCGCCCAGGAACGCGCGGATGATTCGCCACCGCGGGCCTCCGCCGATCCCTCGGCGATACATCGCCGATTCCAGCTCGACGCTTCCCCTCCCCTGGGCCAGCTCCCCCCCCTCTAACGCTCCCCCTGAATGCTGCTCGCCCCCTCCCAGGTGTTTTGCCTCTGCCGTGCTGCTGTCGAATTCTCACATTGAAGCAATAATTGTTGTTGATCCCCCCTAGTACACGTTAAGAGTGCTCCTCTGGTGTCCGCGCCGTGTTTTTTACGAGGGCCTGTCGTGGGCCGCAGGCTGCCCCCCCTGGGCCCCCGAACTGCCACGACAACGGCTCCCGCTCGATACTTCCTCATCTGTAATTCCGAATCGCTCTCTCGTGTGGGACTTTCCTCAGAGGAGGAAAAGGTACCCATACCTCTACCCCCCCCGGCCCGTTTTCCCCTTTTTGGGCCTCCTGGGCGGCCCTCGTCGCCACCGCTGGATTCGCCTCGAAATCCTGGTCAGAACGCGCCCCGGGAGAGGTCTGGAGAGTGGTCCCGCATTTCCCACAATTGATGCAGGACTCGCGCTCTCGCGCAGCGCGAAGCGCGAAGTTGGGAGCCCTAGCGGATTCGCCATCGCGGGCCTTCGCCGATCCATCGGCGATACATCGCCGATTCCAGCTCGACGCTTCCCCTCCCCTGGGCCAGTTCCCCCCCCTTAACGCTCCCCCTGAATGCTGCTCGCCCCTCCCAGGTGTTTTGCCTCTGCCGTTCTGCTGTCGAATTCTCACATTGAAGCAATAATTGTTGTTGACCCCCCTAGTACACGTTAAGAGTGCTCCTCTGGTGTCCGCGCCGTGTTTTTTACGACCGCATTTCCCACAATTGATGCAGGACTCGCGCTCTCGCGTTGTATGTCCTCGTTCTGTATCGTGACGCCGCGCCCGCCACACTCGGGAAGCACGCTCTTGCTCCTGACTTCCTCACGATCTACTGGATCATCGCTCCATCGCCAGAGACGTCCTCGCGATTCGTGCAGGACTGACGCTTCAGCGACCGGCCCGCTCGACCCCGCCGTCTGGGCCCGCCCGCCCGACCCGCCCCGCCTGACCCGCCTGGCTGGTTCTGCCGCTTGTTTCGCTTCTGCTCCTAGCCCCCGCTTGTTTCGTTCCTGCCGCTTCGTTTCTGCTAGCCCCCCTGCTAATCCCTGTCGTGCTCCATCCTTCTCTTTCCTTGTTGTCCCTTCCTCCTCCCTTCCCCTGTTTTAGGTGCTGCGCCAAGTACACGGGACAGGTAAAGAAAAGATGCCCCAAAGGCGGTACAGTCGGGGCCCTGAAGAAGGAACCCTTTTCGTTGGGGAGGGGCTCCGTGTTCCTTAATTGTTTCGCAGCTTGCTCTGGATTTTCCTTAGGTTTTCGATGCGAAATCGAAGTTCAACTTATGGAAACTAGGGGCCTCGTTCCTTATTTAGGGTTCCTTAGGTCAACGCCTAGACTGTATGATCGAAGACGAAGAGGGCGGGTATGTAGGGTTTGGGATACGCATGTTGGATGACACGCGAGCAGACAAGAACGAAGAGTCTTGAAATGATTGGTGCTGTTGTTGTTGCTGTCGTTGATGTTATCGTTGGTTCTGTTATTGTTGTTGCTGTTGCTGCTGCTGCTGCCGCTGTTGTTGCTGTTGTTGCTGTTGCTGTTGCTGTTGCTGTTGTTGGTGTTGGTGTTGTTGTTATTGTAGTTGCTGTTGTTGGTGTTGTTGTTGTCGTTGTTGCTCACGCGGACACTACTGGGGGCCGGTTGCTCGACACCCCCCCCGAGCAACGCCACGGGGCCACGCAGGGGCCTTGCAGGGCCCCTGCCCTGAGCAACGCCACGGGGCCTCGCCGAGGCCCTGCGGGGGCCCCGCAGGGCCACTGCGGTGTTGCTCGGGGGGTCCCCTCGGAGCTGCTGCGAGGCTCCTCTGGGCGCTGCTCGGGAGACCCGTGCGAGGCCGTGTGGGATACGTGTCGGATCCCATACCGGGCGTACGGGATTTGTATGGGATCCCATACAGGCCGAAGGTTTCGGGCCACTTTCCCGCTTCGTGGCCCCACTGAGGGCTCAGCCGAGGGCCTCGGATCCAGTTCGGCGCACCCTTCACACGTTTCGTGGCCCCGGTGGGTTTCACCGGAGGATTCGGGTCCACTTCGGCACACCCCTCACACGTTTCGTGGCCCCACAGGGGGCTCCATCGGATGCTTCGGGCCCATTTCGGCACACCCTCACACGTTTCGCGGCCCCAGTGAGCTCCACCGAAGGTTTCGGGTCAAGTCCACAGGGGGCTCCACCGAAGGCCTCGGGTCCAGTTCGGCACACCCCTCCCGCGCTTCGTGGCCCCAGTGGGTTTCACCAGAGAATTCGGGTCGATTTCGGCACACCCCTCACACGGTTCGTGGCCCCAGTGTGGCAGGCCCAGAGGTTGACACCAACACTCAAATCGGCGGTGTGCCTCCACCGAGGGGAGATGATCCCGATATCGGTGATGGCGGTAATATGCTGGCTTCGTAGGCGGCCGAAGTGTTGCCACCAACACCGAAATCTATGATCATCCTCCCCCAGAGGGCGCACCCCCCTGTTTTGGTGCTGCTGCCTCCAGCAGTGGGCTCCACGGAAGGCTTCGGACGCATTTCGGCGCACCCCTCACACGCTTCGTTGCCCCAGTGGGCCACACCTAAGATTTTGGTTCAGTTTCGGCACACCCCTCACACGATTCGTGGTTCCCCATGGGCCTCCCCTCACAGGTTTCGTTGCCCCACAGGGGGCTCCACCGAAGGCCTCGGGTCCAAGTCGGCACACCCCTCATGCGTTTCGTGGCTCCAGTGGGTTTCACCAAAGGTTTCGAGCCAATTTCGTCACACCCCTCACACGTTCCGTGGCCCCAGTGGGTTTCACCAAATGCTTCGGGACCATTTCGGCACACCTCTCGCATGTTTCGTGGCCCCAGTGGGCTCCACCGAAGGTTTCAGGGGACTTTCGGCACACCCCTCACACGCTATGTGGCCCCACAAGGGGGCTCCACCGAAGGCCTCGGTTCCAGTTCGGCGCACCCCTCGCACGTTTCGTGGCCCCAGTGGGCTTCACCGGAGGATTTGGGTCAATTTCGGCACACCCCTCGCACGTTTCACGGCCCCACAGGCGGCTCTACCGAATGCTTCGGGCCCATTTCGGCACACCCCTCACACGTTTCACGGCCCCAGTGAGCTCCACCGAAGATTTCGGGTCAAGTCCACAGGGGGCTCCACCGAAGGCCTCGGGTCCAGTTCGGCACACCCTTCACACGTTTCGTGTCCCCAGTGGGTTTCACCGGAGGATTTGGTCAACTTCGGCACACCCCTCACGCTTCGTGGCCCCAGTGGGTTTAACCGAA